CCCCTCCTCCCCGCTCCTCCCCCCGTGCCTGCTTGTGCGGGGCTACTCCATAGAGTAGGTAGAGTAGAATATTCACAATTGTTGAGCGTTGGGCGCGGAAAATTTTATTCGCACACTTTGAACATGCTGCACCGAATGTGAACAATGATGCAATTTGGTACCTACCCCTCTCTCTAATTTCCACATGCTTTCGAATTCCCTCCTTCTAGGCCTCCATCCTCCTCCTCTTCTTGAGAACAGATACAGATGTTGTAAAGCACGCAAGTACATACGGGTCATGTAGACTATCCAATTTACAAACAAGCGCTGCTGCGGAAAATCGTTGACTCAATGTTACGCGGCTCCGTATTTCCAGACATCCTCCTGTGTAACGGGGGGAGTTTCGTACCTAGGTTAGTTGTTGTTGCTTGCTGCGCACAACACAAGGTAGTACATTTTTAGAGTATGAAGCGAGGTTCGGAACAGAGTCGTCGAAATCATTTCCACTTGGGACCTCGAAATATTTGTCACACGACAACGAGCTTCTTCCGGTGGCCGTGCCGGAGGAGCAGAGTTTATTTACATGAGTAGATGGGATGTACTTATTTTTATTCCCTACCCGTATTAACACGGAACATCCATCCGCATTGACGCTTCATCTCATGGGCAAAAAATGACAGGTTTCTTTTTGATCTTCATCTCTGTATTTTTCTGTGTATTCTATCTCTGTGTTTACACCAAGTGACTACTTTACATACAACGTCCATATCTGTCACAGTCATCATCCCGCCTACCCCACAATCACCAGACCGCCCTCCACCCCCGTGGACAACAACGCACGCACGCACATTATACGCAGGGTCCAGTTACCAGCTAGAGTAGATCAGATAATAGAGGCGTCTATTAGAGCAGTAATTCGAATAAGTATGGCAATGATAATAGTGGACGGAAAATATTAAAGTTATAGATGTATGTAGTAAGATTGTTATTTTCCTTGTACTCCCGCCACCCCCCCTATAATAGGGAAGGGAGAACCGGATATCCATTGCTATATCTATGACGTAGCCCCATACAATCTTCAACAACATGCTCTGCAGAGACACCTCCCTTCTGTCTTGAGGACAACCCATATGACCTCGTAATAAGAAAATAAAACCCATAAAAATAAAAGATAAAAAATAAATAAAAAATGCCAGCCACGCAATGAAAATGATGACAAGAGAAAGTCCCAAAAATGTGTACCCCACAGATATGCAGAAGATATTACAAAAAAAAGAGGTGAGTTGTGAAGATATACAACTGAGGCAACCGCCTGGATTACCCAATAAAAAGATTACTATGTCAAAAAAAAAAAAGCAACGCCCAAAACCCGCCCGCTCATGAATGAGTAAAAAGAAAAAGCCCGCGCCTAACCAAAAAATAAAGAAAAGCTAGTGAAAAAATATACAAGTCCAATCAATATACAAGAATCGTGACCATCGAAAAGACAACAACGGGCAACGCGCTAGAACGTGCTTATCATTGTCGGTGATGATCGATCGGGTACGAAATAATCGTGTTCGAATAATGATCCCCGTTCTTCGCTTAGACCTGGTGTATCGTTGTGCTCAAAGTAAGCGCGGGCTTGTTCTTGTTCCTTGTGCGACATGGGCGGATGCGACATTGTAGGCTGAGGAGGCGAAGGCGGATTCGAGTCCTCCTCCTCGTCATCCGAAAGGTCTGAGCACAGCGAAGGCGGGCGATGCGATGTTGTTCGCGTGAGCGAAAACATGCCGTCCTCATCGCAATCGTCCTCATCATCCTCGTATTCCTCATCATCCTCGCCAATTTCTGATACGCCAATGACGGTGCCGTGTGTCTGGTAGTACTTGCTGTATGCTGATGAATGTGATGGCTCGCGGGTAAGAGTAAGGTTGTAGCTCATGTCGAGATCCATCATCTGCTCGTCTTCATCCTCCTCCTCTTCCTCCTCTTCGCTCGACTCTGAGTCTGACTCGTAGTCGGCGGCCAATGATCCGTACTCCTCTGTCTCCTCGGGGATTGTCTCGGGCCATTGCTGTACTGATTCCCTTGACTCCTCGTTTCCGCGAACCATGTTGTTGTACCAGATCTCCTGATCGCGCTCGGCTTCTGACAGGTGGATCATCAATGTGTCCAAAAGGTTTGCGTGTCCTGTAGTATAAAAGTTAGCAATGGGTAAGAAACAATTGTCATGGGAGAGAGGGTATTTTTACTAACCGACTAGAAGGCGGAGGTTGTGGTCTGATCGGGAAGCCTCAGATGAGAGCTTGCCTCTGGCCTTGTGTGCCAGGTAGAATGTTTGTGTGATGCTCATCTTCTGTGGATTCTGTCTGAGTTGTAGTGAAGGATGTGATGATGATGATTGATATTGTAACGATGAGGTGGTAGGGTAGATGGATTGTGTCGACATATTTAAGCGTGGAGGAGGTTGTGCGAGGGTATTTATTTTTCTCTGCTATCTACTAGCTATGTAAGGTTCTGAGTCTAACTATTATGCGTGAGTCAGTTGTTGGCCGTGCACGAATGGTATTTTTTTTTGTGTGTGGAGGGTGAAGTGCGGAATTGCAGGAGAGTTTTTTGGGGGGGAGGGAGGAGCAGCAGGTAGGCAGCGAGCCGCATAATTATTTACATACCTTGCTTTGGCTTTAGCGGGTTCAGAGATCCGGTTGGCTGGGTAGGCGGACGCTATGACTCGTGTACAATATCTGTAATGTATGTTGCAACTGTGCTGTGTTGGAAGTGCCAGGAGCAAGTGTCTGTCTGTATGAGATCGAGAAAGGGGTGGTGGTAATGGTAATGGGTGGTGGGAGGTCTTCGATGTGGAGATAGATAGGTAAAATGGCGGAGAGATAGGTCGATAGATAAGTAGGATATTGATGATGCTTATGCTTATTGATCTTGAGGGGGGGGGTTGAGGGAGAAGGAACACTGAGTGGGGAGGCAGACGCCGGTCTTTAATATGGAACGGGGGGGAGTGGGCAAGTCCCACTCCTCCTCCCCAGTCTGGCTGCTATCCCACACATAACATAACCGACTGACCTACTCTCACTCACAGAAATGCAAATCCCACACACCCTGCCCACACACACGCCTCACGCTTCACGCTTTGATGAACGGGCGCGGGATCCATGGACTTGTTCGCAGTTAATGTTAACTACGAGTGCATCATCACAAGGCGAATCCACGCAGTCGGGATGACTGTAATGTCCATTTTCGGATTACGGGAGTACGGAAGTACCGAGCTCCCTTATTTCCATCACTGCGAGGATCTCTTGTTCCCTCACCTCGCTCACCCTATAGACCAGTCCTGCCCTGCGATTCACAACACCCACGCCCAAAAAAGAACCAAAACCCAAACCCCTGCGATTCACAACACCCACGCCCAAAAAAGAACCAAAACCCAAACCCCTGCCCCCACGAGTCCGAGGGCTCAGGAGTTCCGAGTGGGAGTTTGAAATATGCGTGTGTGTGATCTGAGTGAATCTCTGTGATCAACTGGGAATAGGTAAGGAAAAGTGCACGGATACTGGTTCTCTTCCCAACTCACAAGAAATTCTCCACGGACCAGCTGAGAGCCTGAGACCCAGATGGTGGACCTGTTATTGTGACTTGACAGGGTCCCCACACACAACAAAACACACTGACAAACCGGAGCCCGACCCCTCTCAGCGGGTCCTGTTTCTCTCCTTGGAAGACAGGCAGATCCTCTCGTCTACTCTAGTCCGTCGCATCCGACAGGGGGGTGTAGAGCGACGAGGGATAGGGCTTTCAGTTTGTCCGCTGGCACCGACAGGGACCGAACCCGAGCGAGGTTAACTCTCGTCTAGATACTCTATTCGTCTACACATGTACGAACTGACCTGTTGTTCCCACGGAAGTTGAAGCTGCCCCATGTGCCGCGATGTAGAGATAGAAATGAAATATCCTGCCTGTGATAGAGAGGCATACAGAGGCAGAGGCAGAGGCAGAGGAAAGAGAAGACCACGTCGGAATGCAAACCCACCCTCATTTCGGTCCTTGCTTGCCTGCTTGTACCTCTGCTCGTTCTCTTTGCGAAACAGACATTATTATCCGACCAAGCTGCCGCTGCTGCTACTTGCTGTGCCAATTCACACCGCACATCACATCTTCGTGAGGCTGACGGCATTCCGGGGAAATAATCGCACGACGGTTGTAGTAAAAATAAACAAGGAAATAATTTCCCCTGTAGAGCATGTCTAGCAGAACACAAACGACCGGTGGTTCCGTCCCAAAGGTTCGTTCTCAGGACCAAACCCCGCTTCAATTTTATTATGCACGGCGATACCACAGGGCTACGATAAAGTAGAGCAGGTACGATGCCTTATCCTTTTTTACTCATTTCTTTTTTTACCCTACCCCCAATTATTTGATTTCTACCTGGACGGCCGTTTTGGGGGCAATTAGCGATTAGGGATTCAGACGATCATTGATCATGGCCGTGATCGCGCCTTTCTTTATTTGTACATACACATATAATAGAGATGAAGTGTAGATACTTGCTCAACTATCATTGATGCGTCCCACCCCCAATTATTAAGCCGCCTCGCTACTTCTGGCGCCACCTCGCTACTTTGGCAACTTCGTTTCGGCGATCAATTAGAAATCTGGAGTAAAGCTGCTACTAATCTACTCTAATTCGATGCCAAATATTTAAAGTAATGACGCCTACATAGTAGTAGCCTTAATAGCATGGCTTGTTGCAAGGTAGAGGTGTAAGCCCAAGCAGGATTTGTCACCACCCCCTAAAACATACCAATGATAGAGATTTCAAATCAACGAACGACGACGGAACAACGACGACAACCGTTTTCCCTCTCGCCGTCGCCGTCCGTCGCCTTTGCTGCCTGTTTTCGGATAAACCGGATAAGCCGGGGCGGACCATTGGCCCATCTAACGCGAAACTTGGCGTATGTAGCTATAGCCTACAGCACGCGCGTAGTATTATATTAGAGAGCTGTTATGGCTGGTGACGCCCGAGTTTATTCATACTTTGCTTACAGCAGTTAGACTTGATTTCTCGACCCCCGTCTCTCGCACGAGTCACCTACCGGCCGGCCCTTCCTTTCCACTTCCCACCCCCCCCCATTCACGGGCTCCGATTGTTGTGCCGAGCACCGACCGGTTTCTTTCGTTCGCTTCGAGGGAGAAGGGAGAGGGACCTGGTTGGTTGGGGTTAAGGTTTTTTTTGGTTGTTTTGCTTTGAGCGTAGATCCGCTGATCCTCGCCCTCGGTAAGTGAAAGTGTAACAACAAGTCACAGGCGGCTGTTGTTGGCCTGTGCCTGGACTTCTACTAGCTACGAGTGAGCTACCCTTTGGTCCAGTAAGGTCTCTCTAATATCACAGTCTCTCGATAGACGGTCTGTCTCTGTTTGTCTGTAAACAAAGGTTTCGATCAATCAACATAAACAAACGGAAGACGGCGACAAAGTGATCTCCGTCCAGCCATCCGTCCAGTTGTAGAGAGAATCGAAGGTGAACAAGAGACCCGCAGATCTGGATCATTGACAGACAGACAGACAGACTGTCAGACTGTCAGACTTCAGACTTCGACAAACAAACAATTACTGCACTCATACACATAATCGAGGCAGACAAGACACAAGCAAAGCAAGCAACACACACATGCAGCAACAGCAGCAGCAGCAGCGGAAGGAGCCTCACCGCCATAAGCGAGAAGCCTAAAGTGAAGCACCCCCATTGATGGATGGAAGAAAACCCCATCGAGCTTCATGTCGATCTCCATCACAAGTCCCATCCATCGTCTTTTTTTGCTTGCACGGAAAAGAAAAGCAAAACTTCTTGCTGCACCGGCTACGAGTGCCCTCTTTGGGGAATTGGAGCTCTCGCGGTGGGGGGGAGTTAAGAAGAGGTTTCCCTCTTCTCGCTTGGGAATCTCGATTTGGTAGCGTTGTGATGTGCGCGCCATATGTAGACTTGAGCACAGCTATCACAGCACAGCAAAGCACAGCAGCAGAAAGCAGAAGTGACGAACGAGCTCAACTCACAGCCACATAACCTATCACTTACTCTGAAACTTCCGTGGTGGAGGAGGAGAGGTAGCGTACCGTAGTCTACAAGGTATCGAGGGTAATAATAGCAGTGCTAACTGCCTAGCGCATAACTGCTTCCCTACAACTCCTAACTCACCTTCCTTCCTTTGTAGCAGTAACCGAAGTATGTCTGCTACTCTGCTGTGCTGTACACTACTGAACTTGCTCGATTCGTACCAACCGTTCCGGAGGAGGCTGCGGTCTCAACCTCTAACACACCAGCCAGAATAGCCAGGCCAGCCAACCCGGCCAGCCCCAGCCAGACAGACAGACCAGCGCAAAGAAGCATAAATCTCTGCTGCTGCACGGCATCAAGATAGCATATGATACACGGTCCGACGATTTCGATACGCCCGCTTCTTCCCATCCCCAGAATCGGTGAACAGCCCTGCACGACGTCTACGCCTTCTGTAACGGGTAACCCAAGTGGAAGTGGTGTTGGTGGGGAAACACCCTCAACCACATGCACAATTAACCACCACAATCAGTTTTATCTATGCGGCGAGGTGAGGCGGCGGCGGGGAAGAAAGCGAGCGACGGGATGCCTGTGCTGATGCTGCTACTGAATTCGGCCCTATGTTACCGGGCATGGTAGGTGCTCTGCTACCATGCCCTCTACTAGCTGTAAATCCGTGAATCCGTGAATCTGTGAATCTGCGTCTTTTTTTCTTCCCACCTCACACTCTGTGACCCGACTGTAGTTACCTGTCGTGTCAGGATTTACCCATCCGACAGGGCTTACATATCCCATAGACGACTTCCCTAGCCACCCGAACACCCCCCTCACCCGAACACTCAACATCAAAAAGAAAGGATCTTCGTTGCAACCGGTTTCTATACCAATCATTTTCAACTGTTCGGGTGAGGGGGGTGTTCGGGTGGCTAGGGAAGTCGTCTATTCCCATAATCCCTTATCCCATCCGACGATTGATTGATTGATTGATAATGCGGAGAGAAGAGGCGGAGGAAGATCATTAACTGTCATAGCTCGGCAGTAACAGTCCGCTTATGTTACCCTTTCTGCACATTTCCCATGCTTCTAGAAAGGCGCTGTGGAAGAAGCTTCTTCTTTCCGCTGCTTATCTCCGCCCCCCCCCCCCCCCCCCCGGTAGTAATCACCATCACCATCATCATCGTCATCAGCATCAGCAACGTTACATCTCGCTCCCCAAACTAGAGTAACTACCCCGCTGTTCCACATCGGAACGAAGCGAGAGACCAGTGATGATGATAATCGTGGTAGTGGTGGTAAGGGCTTTTGCATGTGGTTTGTTTTCTCGGGGCTGTTTGGCATGACTACACATGTTTGGCCTGTCCGCCGGAGCTGGGGGCAGTACAGTATCTACAACTACGTGTGTTTGTAAGCCACTGATTACTAGATAGAGGCTGTATGTCCATGTCTCTGTACATACTCGCGTTTCCGGACGCAACTGCTATTGCATACACAGAAAAAACCCGCCAAGGCTATCTTTTGTATGGCATGCAATAGTGGTCGCGTCCGGAAACGTCAAAAAAACTACGAGTAGAGTAGGATCTAGTAATTAATTGGAGCCCGGTGGACGGACCACCCTGAGGCCCCCTCCCCTGATTGAGTTTGAGTCTGCCCTATAAAACAAAGTTTACGTTTAACATTCCCCCAACTGGCAATCCATAAGCTTCTCGTTATAATTAGCGAGACGATGATAACCCGATAGACCGTTTTTTTGTGCACATTCCATTCCTCAGCCATGGGGCCAGCAACCACCCCCGGTGTATGTGTGTGGGTGTTTCGTTTAATTAGGATTAGGATAGGCAGGTAGTATCAGATATTCTACATGGAGTATCCTCTATGGTGCTGACACACAGCACAGCACAGCACGAAAGTATGAGTCCCAGCCCTGTAGCAGCTGTGAGGGACCGGGTCCGTTCCGTGGATTAAGATTGGCGAGGGCCGTAGCCGTAACTGAGCTTGTGTTTGACAGCTCCCCCTCCCCCTCACTCGACTGTCTGAGGTAAACGTAACGGGGGTAGGAAACGCACGCACTGCGGAATGCGAGCATGGGTATGAAGGAAAGGTATTACTCACCCTCTCGCTACCTAGGTCAAATAAACGAACAAGAGACGGAAGTAAGACTCACCGACGGAGGGATTGGTTTTTTTTTGTTTGTTTGGTGTGACTTGATGACTCGGAAGGGGAAGGGAAGGGAACGGAAGAGAGTGAGAGAATATTTGTCAGGCTCGGAATTTGTTCGCAGCCAACACGGAGCTCCGGTTCCGCCGTTGCTTGGTGATTGGCTCGGGGATAAACAGCCACCAGAAGATCAATTGAAGAGGAAGAAGCTTCTTCTCGATGACAATATACCTAGTGATGATGATGGCGAGCTCGTATTTTGCAGTGCTTCATACTGGTGCTTCGTATAGACGGGACTCGGAAGCTTGTTGGTTATCGATCATTGTTAATTGCGACATGACTCATGCTGGATATAAGGATTTGGATTCAATCACCATTACCAGTGCAAGTGACAGTGACAAGCATCCATCTATCACTCGCCATCTCTCCATCCATCACTCTATCTCTCTATCTCTCTATCAACCACATTCCATCACAGCACATCACATGGTCACCGGGGCTTTTTTAACTTAGAGCGTTATCGGAATATCTGTGCCTTTTTCGACGGTATATCATGTCCATACCAAGCTTTAAGCCGGCCAGCCACTAAAATCATACTCTATAAATACTTGAAAGGAGCGTTTTTTATCATGGTAACATCAAAGTATGCTGCTTGACAATAAAAAAAAAATATAAAAAAATAAAGTAAAGAGAAACAAAATATCATCCACTGCGCTGCACTACAACCCTCTCGCCAGCTTTCTTTCCCCGGACCCCTCTCTCGAGCTTGCTCACATAGCTCGTAGGTAACATTACAAAACAAACACCAACTACCAAAGTATATAACCAAAGACCAACTACCAAACCAATGCAAAAAATAAACAACGACTCGAATAAGATGAGAAATGAATAAAAAAACAAGAGGGAGAATGGGTTCCCAAAGAAAACCATTCACAAAGGGTATGATGCATATCGATGAGGAAGAGCTGTTTCCAGCCCGGGCTTTGCAGAAAGATGTCGTGGTCCAGTAAGGAGAAAGAAAAGCATAACCAGTATATCGATCGAATAAAAGTTGGACCAAATGAAAATAACAATAATCCATAGGGCTGAGGTTTGTTTGGTTGGGTTTCGCCCAGGGGAAGGATTAGTGATAAGGGGAACAAGGAAGGTTGACGCAAAACAGGGACATGAGGGCTGCCGAAGTTTCCGGTGATCCAGGTCTCGGATCATTTACACTTCGTGGACCCAAATCTATGATCGCGGGAGAAGTCAGCAATGGATCCGCATATGACGTAATTCGAAAATAGACCGTTATAAAAAATCGGAACAAACCTCAAGTTTTCCGAACTCGGAGCGCTCGCGCCTTGCATTCTTTTTGGCCGATGAGATCGCCATGTCAAGATCCTCCTGATCAGAGACGCTGATAAAACCGTCACCGTCCTCGTCCCTGATTTTGCATCTGGTCTTGCGACGGTATCCAAATTTGTCTTGGAGACGGGTGACGAATTCATCGAAATCGATATTGACATTTATCATGATCATCCGCGTATCTTCGCCGTGTGCCTTGACTTTGATCTAGTTGATGAAAACGGTCAACACTTGTTTATCTCAAAGAACTTTAAAACCCGGTTTCTCGGGTTTAAGTGGAAACATACCTTTTTTACCTCCGGAGCACGACGGGAAGCTCCACTACGAATACTACGGTTATCAAGCATCTCAAAATCATCCTCATCGAACGAAGATCCCTCATAAGCGTCACTAGCATATTCGTCTTCATCCACAAAGCGTTCCTGTCTACTATTTGTTCCCCGGCGGGTGAGGCCGCGCCTAATGGAGCTACTACTACCGCCGCCGCGCCTAGATGCATCACGCTCATGACTATACGCGGTATAGATATCCTCCGAGTACTGTGTTTGACCCTCTTCATCCTGGTGCCGGTCTCCGCGCTCGCGGACGGTTCGCGATCGCTGGGCGGTCGCTGGCTGCGCTGGAGCCGGAGCACGAGTGGAGTACGCACGGCGAGGTTCCACTGACTGACCGCGGAGGTGTCCCGGTGGAGGTCTTCGCTGCTGCTGCAAATATCTTTCATCGTCATCCATCCCACCTCGGTCGTCTCGACCTCCGTCACGGCTTCTCGCTCGAGGAGGCGCTCCCCGGATTGAAAGTGATCTGCTGCTGCTACCACTCGATGGAACTCCGGCGACGGTATTACTTCGTATTGGCTTCGATGATGAGAACTCGTTTTCTGGTGGAGGTGTTGGGGGAAATACTTGACGATCTGCGCCCCGTATGCTGGCGGCGGACCCCTCCTTTGGGGGTGCGGTATCTGACTTGCGGCGAGATGTAACTAGGTCGGGATTTACAAGGTTTGTTGCAGCAAAGGAAATCTCGGTCGGCGCGCGGTCATCGGTCGCCAAGTTCTCGGAATTCATTTGCTGTACCTCCGGTTAGTTTCCAATTTGTGTAGTAAGGTGCTCTCCCGGGCCTCACCTTCTTGACCTCCGTACCGGCGAACCCGGTGAAGGCATTCTGGGCATCCGAGGCTGCAACCAACCGAGCCTTTCCCAGGTAATCCTTTGCCTTGACGTTCCTGACCTTGGCTTCGTTGGGGCGGTAGAGAACGCCGACTCCTACAGAAAACACAGTGTACCTCTAAAGAGATGATCAATATCCAAGCCCTCAACCACAGCAACAGGGGTATATGATAGTACCTCCGCCTGCTCCCTGATAGCATCATCAATGACACTATGATCCTCCACCTGCTTCTCTTTGGCCGCATACTCCAGA